ACCAACCAACCAACCAACCAACCAACCAACCAACCAACCAACCAACCAACCAACCAACCAACCAACCAACCAACCAACCAACCAACCAACCAACCAACCAACCAACCAACCAACCAACCAACCCACCAACCAACCCACCGACCGACCGACCGACCGACCAACCAACCAACCAATCAACCAACCAACCAACCAACCCACCTAACAACCAACCTAAACCCTAAACCTTGGAAGGTGGAGATTGCAGATGCAGATGCGGCCCTCGAAGAGCTGAAAAGCGAGGCCGGGGGCAGGCTAAACCCTAAACCTTATAGCATAATTACCCAGACCCCCGGGAGGATATAAAGAGTAGATCCCTTGATTTGGGACCCTAACTACTAAAGGGTTCTATATAGGAACACTCTTAAGGGATCTATTTTCTAGATCTTCCCGGGGGGTCTGGGTAGCAATTTTAGCTCAAGTCCGGAGGGATGCTCTCCTGGCAGTGCCCACCGCGCTTGATGAACAGGTGGCCTTTGCCGGCCGCCGCTTCAACCGAAGCACAGTTTACACACCCAGAAAGCCCAATACCTGTGAATCAAAGAGTATATCCTTAAATCATACTATTAAGGAATCTATAAGTTAAGGATAGATTCCTTATTTAAGGGGTATTGGGCCCTCTGGGCAGTTCTGTCTCCATCCAGACAGACTGTGCCTCGAGGGCTCATGCCCGGGCGAGACAAGCGTCTCAGCGTTGCTTTCCCGAAGATCTTTGGGCAAGACAGGAAGTTAGGGTTTAGGGTGTAGGGTTTAGGGTTAAGCCTAAACCCTAAACCCTAAACCCAGGGGGTTCAGTTCCCCTGGAGCTTTCTGGGCCCTTTGCCGACTCTGCGACCCGGATGGCAACCCAGACCCTGGGGAGGATCTAAAAAGTAGATCCCCTAATTTGGGACCCTACTACTAAAGGGTACTCTATAGGAACCCCCTTAAGGGATCTACTTTCTAGATCCTTCTGGGGGACTGGGAAGTGCGTCCGAGCGGTGATTCGGGGGCGGCGGCTCATGTTAGTGCTAAACCCTAAACCCTAAACCCTAAACCGCACCAACAACCTGACGATCTTGTCAGGCCCTTTGGTCCGGCGGGATGAACCCAACAGAGGTTCATGGGTAGTTCTAAGTTCTAAGTGGTGTTATAAGTCCACGAATACAGGTTATAACTATAGTTACCCTGCTTATAACCCTACTTATAACTATAGTGATCCTACTTATCACCCTACCTACAACTACCCACGAACCTCTAAGTACCAACTGTACGTGCTGTATTCGGGCTCTTTGTCTAAGGTTACAAGTATGGGCCCCTAAAAAGGACCCTTAGGCCTTTCTAGGGACCCTTAAGGGTACATATAGGGCATACAATAGGTCTACCCTAAACCCT